AGTGTTTATGCTTAGGGTTTTAGAGAAAGAACAAGTCTGCCAAAGAAAGAGAGATTATAGTGGAATTACTCAAGCACAAGGTAAGTAAATCCTACCATAAGTATGATTTAAGTTATGTTGTGTAGAGAATTTTCTTTATGCATATGTGTGTGTATATGTGTGTGTGTGTGTGTTATATGTAAAATTGTTGATGGATTTGGTGTTGAATAATGATTAGAACCTGTCCATGAAGTTGTGTTGGTGTAATTATTATTTGATGAATGTTTGAATGAGACCTGGAAGAATTGAAGTGAAAATTTTGAAGTGTGTATTTTGGACAGATTTGGTGTTAATTATGGAGGAGTTTACTCCAAATTTTTGGTAGCCTAAAATAGAGATAGAAGTGTAGCCAAATTAGTGTTAATTTGTGCACATAAATTGTTTGATGAAATGCCAAAGAGAAGTGCATGTATGAGAATGATTATGTGTTACTTTTGGACAAGTTTGTAGATGGTAGAGAATGACATATTTGCATTTCCTATGCATAATTGCATTTAAATATGTGAATTTAGAAATAATTATAAGCATGAAACCATCAACATGTATACATATTCATAAGAGCATGAAAAAACCCTAAAATATGTTAAAGAGAAAATAGAAAGAAGTGAGAATATTAAAGTTATTAAAGATGTTCAAAGATATTAAAGATATTCAAATCTGAATTTTTCTTAAAGAAGTGTAAAAAAAAAGATAAAAAGAAGAGAAGGTTATTGCAATGGGAAGCCGTGAGTGACATAGTCCCACATGCATGCCATCTTTAGTGAGCGGCCCCAGAACTTAGAAAGAAGAATTGTACAGTCTGTTAGAAGTGTGTGTGGATGAGGACTGTACCCAAAATTAGAGAATTCACTCACACGACCAAGGCTCCAAATCCATGCCTCAACCGAGTCTGATTGGCAAGAATAGAAAGAAAGAACAGAAAGAAAGAAAGAAAGAATAGAAAGAAAGACTATAAAAGAAATAAAGAAATAAAGAAAAAGAAACAGAAAACAGAATAAGAAAAATATAAAAGAAAATGCATAATTTGTGCATTTGCATCATTAATATGCATAATACCATGCTCATTATCATGGGTCGTGAAAAAATTAGAAAATAGAGAGAAAAACAGAGAGTGAAAAAATTAGAAAATAGAGAAAGAACAGAGAGAAGAATAGAGAATACTCAGGAAATGAGTTGTAAGTAGGACTGTAAACGAGCCGAGCTTTTGGCTTATTGAGCTCGACTCATTTACAACAGTGTCGAGCTCGAGCCTGGCAAGCCTTAGAATTGAGACTCGAACTCAAGCTCGGTCGAGTTCGGGTCGAGTTCGAGTCGAGCTCGAGCCGTAATCCCTAAATTTAAAAAAATGACAAAACACCTCCCCCCCCCCCCCTTTCTGATTTTTTAATCCCTAAAACCAGTGAACCATAACACTTTCGAAGCAACTGTCAGCACCAACACACCTCCCAGTCTCCATAATCCCCAAAATTTCATCGATCTCCAGTTCTCCACCACGATTTGTCGGCAGCACCAACACACCTCCCAATCGCCGTCAACTCTTTGCCATGAACCACAACTTCTTCATGGGATTTGCGTCGCAGAGCTGTCATATCAACTCTTCGTCGTGAACCACGTCGTCTTCATCGGAATTGCGTCGCAAATCTGTCGCCGTCAACTCTTCGTCGTGAACCACATCTTCTTCATTAGATTTGCGTCGCAGACCCATTGAAGTCTCGCTTGCTTGTTTTGTTTGCGATTTGGGATTCAGGGCAAGTAGGATTGGGAACTGAGATTGATTTGGTTTTTGGGTATATTGTGTTATAAGAATTCACACTTTGGGGGGGAAATTGTCATTTTTTAAAACTTTTTTTATTAAAAAATATCAGTTTAATACCTAATCGTTTAAAAAATCACCAAAGCACCCTGTGTAAGTGTACAATGCTTACTCGAGCTGGACCAGACTCGCGAGCCCACGAGCCGAGCTTCACTGTGTTCGACCTTGACTCGGTTAACAAACTGAGTTTGAGTCGAGTCGATCGAGCCGAGCTCTAAACAAGCTTTTACCGAGTCGAGTCGAGTCGAGCCGGCTCGGCTCGTTTACAGCTCTAGTTGTAAGGAAAGAAAATTCAGGATTTAAGCAACGGAGAGAGAAATGTGGCATAGAGGGTTTACTTACTGAGCCATTAGTGCTCACTCCGTTGTTTTTAATGTTTTACATGTAATAGGTGAGTTGCGGTAGCTCGAAACGTCACGTAGTGGAAGGGTTGGGCTACACTGTTAAGTTGCTATTTTTGAGAACATTTTGTAATTATTTGTATATAAAGAAAAATTAAATATGGGCCCATACTTGATTACTCGTATATATATGTGTATTTTCTTATATATATTTTTAATGAGTTTTAGTGATTATTTTACGAGTATACTAGCTAGAAAGAAAGATTAAAACCTGAGACGCGTTTGTGCCCCTGCCCTTCCCACCCCCCCCCCCCCCCCCCCCCCCCCCCCCCCCCCCCCCCCCCAAAAAAAAAAAAAAAAAAAACCTTTTAACAAAGGTTTGGCTACCCTATCTCTTTACCCTCTCCTTCGACTTCTAGAAATGCCGACCATTTAGGCCTATCGTCAAGGAAATTCCATCATCCCAAAATAAAGTGGCTTCCATCCATCGCAAATCATTTTTTTTTTTTTTTTTTTTTTTTTTTTTGCTTTAAACAGAGTGCAGCAACATAATGTGCTACTTGCCCCAGAACTTTTATCCAATTCTTGCAAGTTATAAAATGATCGAAACTTTGAATTGGTCCATACCTTTCTATGTCTGCCTAGAATCTCTTTTTTCTCTAAACACTTGCCAACTCAACCTTATCGTCACCCTTGCAGGGAAGTATGGTGTAGTATTGATTACAACCTCGAGCCCATACTCTTTATAATTATGCTTCAACAACATTGCACAATCGTATAAACTAAATATTAGCAAGAAACCAAAACAACTAATAGGCTGCCAGTCTAGGGATATGGCTTGGAGGGTATTGGGGAGTGTGTTTTTGGCTTCGAGAAGATCGGGGAAGCCAAGGCAAGCCTATGAAGGCTGTTGTGGTAGGTTCGATGGCTGGAGATGGTGGGGATGGTAGAAGTGCAATAGGGGGCTAGGGGTTGCCTGTATATTGCAAGGTTGGCCACAAGCGCATGGCAGCCTCAATTAGAGGCAGCCCCCAGCCACCCCTATTCCGCCCTCTCTCCAAATAACCCTCTAACCCGCAAACAACCTCCCTATAGCGTCATTGGTTCCCTAGTCATTTGGAAGCCAAAAACAGCACTCCCGATGCCTCCAATGCTCGATAAAATGCCATAACCACCCTACAACCAACGCCAACCAAATCCCAAATTGGCACCAACAACCATTATTTCATAAAATAGTAAGGAATGTACCTGTTCTTCCTCTGCCTCGCCAAAATTTGTATCGATGTCCTCATCTCAACCATTTTCAAAGTCTGTCATTGTTCTTGCCCACTGGTCTCTTTTGCCACCGGCATGTCCTCTGTTGGGTGGTAGTGCAACTCAGTCATCGAAAGTTGCTCCACCGAAACCTCTTTTCTCCAATCTTCGAACAATCGTCGAGTCTAGAATTTGGAGAGGGACGGGTTTTCTCAAATTTGTTAATTTCAGCAATTTTTGTTTGTGTAACTCATGGGAACGAAATCCAAAGAGCAAAAGATTTGCCGAAAAATGGGAAGAAAAATCGCAAGAGAAATGGCTGGTTCGTCGGGTCGATTAAAAGATTCGAATGGGAGGTTTGTTAATTTCAAAATTTTAAAGCAATTTCACTTTATTACACTATTACCCATAATGTTTAAATCTTGCACTCTAACCCTTTTTGAATCTTTAATATTCTTAAGTGTGCCACTTCACTCTTTCAAACTTGAAAAAAAAAAAAAAAAAAAAAAATTCAAAAAATTTCAAGGTTTTTTTTTCAATTGCAAACTTGAGAAGTCATTACAATTAAATTTCCTCAAGTTGAAGGAACATGGTGGTACAGTAAATGTATAATAAATGAGATTCATAAGAAATTAAAAAAGATGGAAAATTTCATAAACCACCTATATTTGCGTTTCGTAGTTAAATTATGACTTTTCCCTATGTTTAATTATTAGCCTCTTGAACTTTTAATGTTGTATCATACACACCCCTTGACACTAACACTGTTCTCTTAACATAGGTTAAAAGACCAAAGTACCCAAAGTTATGTTATTGACGATGTGAAAATTGATGGAATAAATCAAATGAATAATTTAACTACCATCTTGTCCCTAAGTATTTTGAATTAATACAATTTTGTCCATTCATTATTCAAATGTAATTACTAAAATGCCTTTAGGTAGGCTTGAGAACTCTTTATTTAATGGATATGCCCGGATGGTGTGTTTTCAAAATCCTGAACAAGAATCATAGAAGAACCATTAGCAATAGATAAGTATCTTTTTTTTTTTTTAAAGCTTTCCACCAATGTTTTAAAACCCAACATGGCCACATGGTTCGACCGCTCCAAGGCCTTCTCTGAGCCAAGTCATCCCTATCCACTATTTTAAAGTCCCTAACCTAACTGCCGACCACTTTTGGCCACTTACTTTATCGAATCCATTGGTTCTAACATAAGATGCCACTTTTCAGTTCTGCTGTATCTCAGTAGAAAAGGGGGATGAAAAAATTATTTGTTCAAGTAAGAAAGGCTAATAACAATGGATGATCCTTGTGTATTGAAAACAAACAAATGAAACCATATCAAAGTGATTAACTCTTTTAAACATATCATAACAAAGTTACATGTCAAGTTATTACACTAATTGATATCATAGATGTTATAAGATTATATTTACTCAAGTTCTATGATCCTTAAGTCTTCAGTTATATTTCAAAATTGAATACTAAGTTATAAATAAAATGCTGGAAATACTAATATCCTGGAAATATGCTGTTCCGCCATTGCACTGCACACGGAATTGCCATCAACATTCAAAGCCAAAATAAAGCAAAAAACTTGAGCTTGTTTATTGAACCCAATCAAGATCAAAGCACATAATTACATGTCGATTGATAGGCCAAACATCGCGTAGATCATCATCATCTCTATTAAGCAGCTTCCGGTTTTTCCTCCTACAATCTTCCATTGGCAAGGTGCTCAGGATCTTTACATCTTTCAAGTAATGTCGCCAACACTTGATATTATGAGAATTGCAGCAGTTTACACATCTATTCCTCAGTTCCTCATATAGCCACTGTAGTTCAAGCAAGTCAAATAATTATGTTAAAACTTAATTACGATTATGAACTTAAAAGATATACTTAATAAGTTATACAAGTGAGCTGTTAAATTGTATCCTATGTGCAATGAAATGAATTCATATAGGATAGAAATATCAAGAACAATAATTTAAGATTAAATGAAGACACCTGAAGGAATTTGTGCTCATCTTCCCCAGTTGCTGTCACATGCAAAGTCCACGGACAACAACTCCAAAGAAGGCCATCCAACAAAGCTCTGTAATCGGAAAATGGCACGCCTGCGCATACGTTTACTGATAGGTTTAGAGTCGGGACTTGACAACGGAATGACGCAAAACTTTCTCTTACTCCCTCCAAATTGAACGAAATCTTGCAAAATCACAACAAACAATAAGCAATTAGAAAACGACAAGAAAATGTAGCAAAAGTTAAGTAAAACCTCGATATTCAATTCCATGAGATTTATTGAAATACCTTCTTCAATGTAAAAGATAGGAATAGACCTTCAATTTGATTGGCTACTCCAAGAAATTTCGTCAGATTCATGAACCAACTAGTGTCAAGATCACTGTAAGGGCGGATGGAAACTTTCCAATATGAATATGGAGCATTAGTTACAGCAATGGGAATCCAATTCAAGTAGTAAGAGAATGAAATCAAATTTGGTGTATCAAGATGAATTGCCTTCAAACCAGGACAAGAACGGATTTTTAATCTTTTCAGCCTATCACTTGATATTATAATCCTTTCAAGCAACATACTCCTATACACATATAAATGCTCAAGGAAGGGAAATTTTAATATAAGCTGATGAAAATCTTGGTCTGTAAAAGAGCCACCATTCACATGTAACTCTTTCAAATGTGTACACCCAGCCATGTCAATACACAGCCGGCTCGAATAATTTACAACAAGCCAACAAACTTGAAGACTTGGAGCAATAATTTCAACACTAACAAGTTTATCTGACGGATTATGAAACTGAATGAACTTGAGTTTGAGAGCTTTAGAGACACGCAAATGCTTAAGACCCCAACAGCTGCAAATCAACAAGTCTTCAAGTAAAGGGCATTCACTAGTAAACTTTTGGACCATCTGCTCATTTATACAGACTCCTTTTAAAGTAAGACTTTTGAGAGAACATAACATTAGAGTATCAGAGGGCTGCTCTATCTTACAACTAGACAGCCTTAAAGTAGTAAGCAATTTTGCAGAAAAGATCGTTTGAGGCAAAGTGTACACTGCATCCCTATATGCATTGTAAATTCTACATGGTGAAATATCAAACTCTTTTACCTCTTTCTCTACTGCCAACCGTATCCATTCATCAATACGAGAGGATATCTTAAGATTAAAAAGACATACTTTCAGCCTAAATTTCTCCATACAATACTCAAGTCTGCAGAACCGACCCAGGGTTACATCAACAAATTTCACAAATCTTTTTTCATGTAACACGCCTCCGGTTCCGGTAAGCCTACCTTTTCGCATGAAGTGATTTTGATTAAATTCCAGAATAGGGAATGATGTCTGCAAATAATTCCATCTCTTTGACAAAATACTAGTTTGAGCTACCTTTTTTGGTGAGAGGTGAGACATGATCTTATGAACAATAAAATCAGGCAACTCTGAGATTCTATCCATGGCATCAAATCTGTAACATGAAATACGGTATATAATTTATACTTGTTCATACATTAAGAACAAAAACTTTCAAGGAATGCATATAAAAGAGAGACTTACCAGTTGTAACGCCTTGAATTTTTTGTATTGTCCTTCGTTCCGTTTGTATGGTCTATGCGATAAGATTTGATTGAGCATTTGAGTTTTAAAGTTTGAATGAATGATAGATACTGATTTTATATGATTTTGTTTCTTTTTTTCAAATAAAGATATTATAATATTATCAAAATTCTATGGGAAAAAGATTATATTATCTCCTTATATTTAGGCCTTCCTATTATAATAGTCCTAGTTAAATTAGATTTCTTGTTTTAGATGTTGATTGAGATGGGTTTAAGTTGTATATCTTTCTTAAACAACTCAAGTTCGTTCCAATTGATGCTAAAAATACAGCTAATTTTTAGAGACACTTTCCCAGTTTGAAACGGCAAGACCTAGGGGTGGGCGGGTCCCCATACCCACCAAAATTCAAAGGGACCAGACTCGGAACAAGATTTGGTCGGTTCCTAGATTTGGAACCAAAACCTGAAACATAGGTTTGGTTTTGGTTTGGGGTACCTGGGTTAATTTCAATTAACTCCTATTTTTTAAAATGACAAATAAACCATCTAAATATTCATACAACCCCAATAATTTACAGGAATTACAATTCAGTCCCGGTTCCACATTCCTACCCGGGTACCCGGATCTCAGTTTCAGTTCCAAATACTGATTTCTAGAAGTTACATCAAATAATTTCATAAATCTGCTTACATGAAACATACCTCCGATTCCGGTAAAATGTTTATTTTGTTGTCTAAGCTAGCCTACGTTTTCATATGAAGGTTGTTGTGTGGGTTCAATGGCTAGAGATGGTTGGGGATGGTAGAAGAGTACAAAATAAGGGGGTTGGGGGCTGCCTTATATATTGTAGGGCTGGCCACAAGCAGCTGTGCGTGGCCAGCCCTACAATATGTAGGGCAACCCCCTAGGCCCCCCTATTCTACACCCTCCTGCCAAATCCAACTCTCCAACCTCCCACAAACAACCTCCCTATAGCCTCCTTTGGCTTCCTCGGTCGTCTAAAAGCCAAAAACAGCCACTCACCCGATGTCCTCTAACTGCTTGACAAAATGTCATAATCACCCTAGCAACCACCAACCAAACATCCCCAAATTGGCACCAACAACCAATTATTTCATAAAATAGTAAGAAATGTACCTGTTCTTCCTCCTCCTCACCGGAATTTGCGTCGGCATCCTCGTCTTCAAACCCATTTTCAGAGTCTACCGTCTGTTCTTCTACCCACGTGGTCTCTTCTGCCACTGGCATGTCCTCTGCCGGTGGAGCAACTTCAGTCGTCGGAAGTTTCTCCATCAAAACCTCTTCTTCTCTAATCTTCAAACAACTGCTAGAGTCTAGAATTTAAAGAGGGGTTGGGTTTTTCTCAGACTTGTTAATCTCAGCCATTTTTTGCTTGTGTAACTAACATGGGAACGAAAATCCAAAGAGCAAAAGATTTGCTGGAAAACGAGAACGAAAATTGCATGAAAATGGCAAGAGAAATGGTTGGGTTCGTCGGGTCGCTTAAACGATTTGAATGGGAGGGTTTGTTTTAATTTTCAAAATTTAAATTAATTTCACTTTATTACACTATTACCCATATATGTTTAAATCCTTGTACCCTAACCCTTTTTGAATCTTTAATAATTCTTAAGTGTGCCACGTCACTTTTTCAAACTTAAAAAAAAAAAATCAGAACAATTTCAAGGATATTTTTTCAATTGCAAACTTGAGAAGTCATTACAATTAAATTTCCTCAAGTTGAAGGAACATGGTGGGTACAGTAAATGTATAATAAATGAGATTCGTTAAAGAGTATAAAAGAAAGAATGCAAAATTTCATACACCACCCTTATATTTGCGTTTGTATCATTAGAATTATGACTTTCCCTATTCTTATTATGTTATACTCTTGAACTTTTAATGTTGTATCATACACACCCCTTGACACTAGCACTGATCTCTTAACATAGGTTAAAAGACCAAAGTACCCAAAGTTAATGTTATTGAACATGTGAAAATTGATGGAATAAATCAAATGAATAATTTAATACCATCTTGTGTATTTTGAATTAATACAATTTGTCCATTCATTATTCAAATGTAATCACTAAAATGCCTTTAGGCTTGAGAACTCTTTATTTAATGGATAGATGGTGTGTTTGCAAATTCCTGAACAAGAATTATAGAAGAACCATTAGCAATAGATAAGGATTTTTTTTTTTTTTAAGCTTTCCACCAATGTTTTAAAACCCAACATGGCCCAGACGGTTGGACCGCTCAAACCGAGAGCCAAGACCTTGTCCAGGCCAAGTCACTCCTGTCCACTATTTTAAAATCCCTAACCTGATTGCCGACCACTTATGGCCACTTTTTGGCCCCCCTTGGCCCCTCCCACTCACCTACCACCCTAACTTGGTTGTCGCATACCCCCTGGTGAGTTGTGCTCCCTGCTCCAACCACGACAATCTCTATTTGCAAGCATTGCCATGCTTGCCTTTTGCATGAACTTGTGCTTAACGCACGACGGTGGTTGCTCACAGTACAACATCGCACTTCTGAAGACACCAGGGATTACCTTGCTACGCGAGCATTATCACGCGATGCCAACAGTTGTCTCACGCCTTCCTCGCCCAAGCCCAACTTCCCAACCTCGCTCTCTCTAGTGTGTCACCACTGCCCAACCAATCAACCATTGATTTGCATTTGACCAAATCATAGGGATGTGTTTGCTAGATTTCAAACCTTTAGGAACTTATGATATTTATCAGGGGGCATGTTTGCTAGATTTCAAACCTGTTGGATATAACACTCAAACTATCAACCCAACCAATCAAACCGATCAACCCAAGAACTAGTCAAGGGGCAGGTTGGGTTCAAAAACATCTCTTTCCACTTCATTGAAAATTTAGATGTGTCAATATTGGTGTATTTTGCTCACTCATAGCTAGCTACTCAGAATAAACACGACAGTCACTACATAGTTCCTAAGATTTATCCCTTTAAGTAAAAAATTGTACAACTGATTGTCGCTTGCACAACTCTTACTATGGTCTATATTGTTCATTCGATTTACTTTATCGAATCCACTGCTTTTAACATAGGATACCACTTTTCAGTTTTGATGTATCTCAGTAGAAAAGGGGGATGAAGTTGTGGTGATGAAAAATTTATTTGTTCAAGTAAGAAGGACTAATAAAATGGATGATCCTTGTGTATTGAAAACAAACAAATAAAACCATATCAAAGTGATCAACTCTTTTAAACATATTATAACAAATTTACATGTCAAGTAATTACACTACTTGATATTATAGAAGTTATAATATAATATTTACTCAAGTACTATGATCTTTAAGTATTCATATATGTTTCAAAATGCAATATAAAGTTATAGATAAAATGATCTTTACGTCTTCATATATATTTCCCTGTTTGTATTATATTATACTCTTGAACTTTTAATGTTGTATCATACACACCTCTTGAAACTAACATTGTTCTCTTAACATAGGTTAAAAGACCAAAGTACCCAAAGTTACGTTATCGAACATGTGAAAATTGGTAGAATAAATCAAATGAATAATTTAACTACCATCTTGTCCCTAAGTATTTTGAATTAATACAATTTTGTCCATTCATTATGCAAATGTAACTACTAAAATGCCTTTAGGTAGGCTTGAGAACTCTTTATTTAATGGATATGCCCAAATGGTGTATTTGCAAATTCTTGAACAAGAATCATAGAAGAACCATTAGCAATAGATAAGGAGATTTTTTTTTTTTTTTTTTTAAGCTTTCCACAACTGTTTTAAAACCCAACACAACCCAAATGGTTCGACCGGTCGAACCAAGAACCAAGGCCTTCTCTGGGCCAAGTCACCCCTATCCACTGTTTTAAAATCCCTAACCAGACTTCCGACCACTTCTGGCCACTTTTTGGTATCCCCTGCCCCCTCCCACTCACCTGCCACCCTCACTTGATTGTTGCGTACGCCCTATTGGGCGGGCTTCTCACTCCAGCCATAGCAATCCCTATTTCCAAGCTTTGTCATGCTTGTCTTTTGAGCGAACGTGCACTCAACGCATGAAGGTGGCTGCTCATAGCACAGCATCGTGCACCTGAAGACACCAGAGTGTACCTTGCTACACGAGCGTTGTTGCGCGACGCTAACAGTTGTCGCACACCCTCCTCGCCCAAGCCCAACTTCCCAACCTCGCTCTCTCTAGTGCGTCACCACTGCCCAATCAGTCAACCATTGATTTGCATTTGACCAAATCATAGNATATTTTTTCAATTGCAAACTTGAGAAGTCATTACAATTAAATTTCCTCAAGTTGAAGGAACATGGTGGGTACAGTAAATGTATAATAAATGAGATTCGTTAAAGAGTATAAAAGAAAGAATGCAAAATTTCATACACCACCCTTATATTTGCGTTTGTATCATTAGAATTATGACTTTCCCTATTCTTATTATGTTATACTCTTGAACTTTTAATGTTGTATCATACACACCCCTTGACACTAGCACTGATCTCTTAACATAGGTTAAAAGACCAAAGTACCCAAAGTTAATGTTATTGAACATGTGAAAATTGATGGAATAAATCAAATGAATAATTTAATACCATCTTGTGTATTTTGAATTAATACAATTTGTCCATTCATTATTCAAATGTAATCACTAAAATGCCTTTAGGCTTGAGAACTCTTTATTTAATGGATAGATGGTGTGTTTGCAAATTCCTGAACAAGAATTATAGAAGAACCATTAGCAATAGATAAGGATTTTTTTTTTTTTTAAGCTTTCCACCAATGTTTTAAAACCCAACATGGCCCAGACGGTTGGACCGCTCAAACCGAGAGCCAAGACCTTGTCCAGGCCAAGTCACTCCTGTCCACTATTTTAAAATCCCTAACCTGATTGCCGACCACTTATGGCCACTTTTTGGCCCCCCTTGGCCCCTCCCACTCACCTACCACCCTAACTTGGTTGTCGCATACCCCCTGGTGAGTTGTGCTCCCTGCTCCAACCACGACAATCTCTATTTGCAAGCATTGCCATGCTTGCCTTTTGCATGAACTTGTGCTTAACGCACGACGGTGGTTGCTCACAGTACAACATCGCACTTCTGAAGACACCAGGGATTACCTTGCTACGCGAGCATTATCACGCGATGCCAACAGTTGTCTCACGCCTTCCTCGCCCAAGCCCAACTTCCCAACCTCGCTCTCTCTAGTGTGTCACCACTGCCCAACCAATCAACCATTGATTTGCATTTGACCAAATCATAGNAAATATCCAACATTTTGTTTTGAAAATAAAAAGAAAAAGAAAAAAGCAAAAGAAATGGAGGCTGGCTACATATAGTAAACCAGATGAGGTTTAACGAAATACTAAGTTGATACCCTTAGTTTTATTTATTCTAGATTCTCATCCTAAAAGTAACACCGTTTCCTTTATTTTAGAAGTTAAAGGTTAAAACAGTCATTTTCTTTCTCTTCCCTTCCCATTTCTTTTTCATCTCCACCTCCTCCTCCCAACCCTCCCCATCACCACCATTTTTCTCCCCTCTGTCCCCCTGCCAAAACCCCTCTCATTCCACGCGCATTTACCTCGTCGTTTGTCAGTCATCACATTAGCTCGAGTTGGCGCGCCACAAGCTTTTCTAGCCGATTTGGTCACTAGAAACCTCCCCTGCCTCCACCAATTGATTCACCCGTGTCCCCTCTCTAAAACTTTCATACTTCCTATCAACGTTCGGTCACCATTTGTTGTCATTCATCAGCCTCCAATCTCCAGGATTTTCGGTTTGAATAAATTGGGATTTGCTTAATTGATGAAATTAGGCTTAATTGAAGCTTGATTGTTTGGATTTAATTGTTAGTTGTGTTGTTTTAGCCGTGATTTGGTTAATTTTGTTTTGCCATGATTTGGGTTTATTTGCATGTGTTGGTGATTTGGATTTGGGTTTTTTTTTCTGTTTTTTTTCTTTTTTGTTTTCCCTAAATGGTGCGATTTTAGGTGGTGGTTGGGTGGCTATAATGGCATATCGGAGGTGTGGCGGTTTGGTCGGTTGTGGTGATAGTTTGGATGGTTGTGGTGGTGGTTTGAGATGGGGTGGTTTAGAATGAGTTGTAGTGGTGGCTTGGTCAACTATAACGGTGGTTTAGAATTGTGTGAAGGGTAGTTTTGTAATAACATCCTCTACATCGATTAAGTCATTAACGGTAGTACTTTAAAGATGAAATCTAGAATAAATAAAACCAAAAATATTCGATTTCACATTTCGTTGAACCTGGGTGGAAACATGTCCTTTGCTTATATATATATATAGGTGGAAACATGTCCTTTGCTCATACACACACACACACACATACACACACATATATAGACAACACATGGTAGAATTCTAGTGCGCATACACACACACACACATACACACACATATATAGACAACACATGGCAGAATTATAGTGCGCACACACACACACACACACACACACACACACACACACACACACACACACACTCACTTAGGCTTAAGTCTAACACATGGCAGAATTCTAGTGCCTTCTCTCACGTTAAACCTATACTTCTGTCTACACTCAATCAGATCCCTTAAACCCTAATTCTTTCTTTGTCTTCTGCAACCACAAGAAATTCACATTATCGCTTGTTTCCTTCAGTTCCCGCTAGCACCAATAAACTCCATCGTCGTCGTCGTCGTCGCCACCTCCGCCGCCGCAAACCATTACCTGTAAGTATATCCTTTTTAATTCATTCAAATAGCTCTTTCAAAACCCCTGAATTTTGTTTATTTACACGATCAATACTAGATATTATCTTCGTGTTCTGATTCTGGTTTTTTTATTTTTTTCTTAATACTTTATTTGTAGCATTCAAGAAGTAATTAATCGGGAAAGTTTAAAGCTTTGATTGAGTAAGACTCGATATTCTGTTTCCTACGAAGCCATGGCTCGTTTTCGGAATGTAAGTGAATATCCTCCTCTTTGGTTTAGTTTGAAGTAAATTGCTGAATATTATGTTATTTAGTGGTATTACATTGAAGAAAATCTAGCATATGAAAAGAATCATTTTTGTAAAAGCACTTTGAAAATAGTTTTGCTAATGTTAATGTCAGTGTGCATAGTTTCTGATTATTATTTTATTATTTTCATTAAAACAGAAAAATAAAAAGGCATTTGTGAAGCCGGTTGGGAAGAAGAAGCAGCCTACTGTAGATCACATCACAGGGGATAAGATCCCAAAGAGTTTTGTGTTTTCCCGAGGGAAATTGCCTGGTCCTCTCAAGCAGCTTGAATTGGACATAAGAAAGTTGATGCTTCCGTATACTGCTCTCAAGCTTAAGGTAAAGCTTTATTTGTTTTCTGATTTTGACTTTCCTTCTTTGTGTCTTGTTCTTGTTTACTTGAGCTCGTTTCGTTAAACTTGATGATGAATTCTTGGAATATACATTAATAAGGATTATTGGTTTTGTTGGGGAAACCTTGTTTTCATGAAGTATTATGCTCAATGAGACTAATAGATTATAATGTAAAATCAAATCATTAGCTGATTTCTCATAAAGGTGTTTAAAATTTTGAACAATGAATTTAGTTGAGCCATGGACATGATTTTAATTCTAGAGGACCCTTAATTAGTTTGTTTTGATTGATATTTGCAATATCCAATGGTTTTCTTCTAATTTTCTTGTTATATGATTGCAGGAGAAAAAGCGGAATAATCTTAAGGACTTCTTGAATGTTGCTGGGCCAATGGGTGTTACACATTTCCTCATATTGTCAAAGACTGAAACTGCTCCATACTTGAGGGTTGCAAGAACTCCACAGGGCCCTACTCTCACGTTTAAAATACATGAGTACTCATTAGCTGTTGATGTTGCACGATCTCAAGTGCGTCCTAGATGTCCTCAAGACCTTTTCAAAAATCCTCCTTTGGTAATTTTCTTTTTAGCATAAATACATTCTGATTGTTGCTTTCAGTTCGTAGATTTCCTCATTATAAACTGGCCAGCTATATAGAATATATTTTTTTTCATTTTACTGGCTCTAAGTATAATATTCCTTTTGTCAATGAAGCCTGGTTGTAAAGTACTTATTAGCAGAACCCTATAGATGGTGGGTCCAACCCCCTGACTCTCAAGTAAACTTGCATTTTTTCTGTTCACTTATGTTAGATTTTATGTTTGCTTCTCAACAGATGATTGGACTGAAGCAATATGTTTATTCATAAATTGATCTGATCAAGTAATGGAAGTTTTGTTCTGTGTTTACATGCTATTCCACTAACCCATGTTTTTTGAATATGTTGTTTTGGCAGATTGTTCTTTCTGGTTTTGGAACTGGAGATCAACATCTAAAGCTTACAACCGTTATGTTTCAGAACATCTTTCCAGCCATTGATGTTAACACTGTGGGTGGTTAGACAATATAACTCTAATGCTAGTATCAGCGGGATATTGCTCCTGTGCTTAATGTTATTTTATTATGTTTCAGGTCAAGCTTTCTACTTGCCAGAGAATTGTGTTGCTAAATTACAATAAAGACACCAAGCTTATTGATTTTCGACATTATTCAATCAGACTACAACCTGTAGGCGTTTCTCGTAGACTTAGAAAATTTGTTCAGAACCATCAAGTCCCTGATCTCAGGAGTCTTCAGGATGTGAGTGATTTTGTTACCAAGTAAGTATTCATAATCATTTACATATGTATGCTAATCTAATTTCTATTTAGCAAGAGTTATTGAGTTTATGCCATCACTTCATTTCTAGTTTTGGTGTGTGTGTACTATTCAGCGTAGTGGTTAATTTATTTGTTCTAATATAAAGCTATTTTGGGTAGTGGCTAGATGCAGATCTGTTGATTGATTATTTGGTTGTCTTATTGTCTAATCTGAAGACTTATAGTTATATGTCTAATTATGGAGAATTAACAACTATAGTGTTTGAGCTGATTGTTGAAGAAAGTATGTTAGCTTAAATTATTAGGATCTGTATCTATGTAGTAATTCTAATTTTAAATCAATTGGACATGAAATTTCTGGCTTGAGTTTTTCTGGCCAACTTAGACAGTTACTTGTATTTCCTTCTAATAATATGTAATTCATGTCGCTGGAGGGGGCGTATCCTAGTGGGAATAATGTAATTGTATGCTGAGATTTGACAATCCTTTTAGAATTGAAGAGAAACATATATAAGAAGGCTTTCCTTGCAGTATGTATGTACTGAATTCTGTAATTCCTTGAGTAGTTTAGGGTTTAATGACACATTCATACTTGGTCTTCTTGATTTATTTTAATTCATGTTGTTCTTTCCATGTGGCTTTTGAAGGGCTGGTTACGGGTCAGAAAGTGAGGCTGATGATGAAGCAGCAACAGTGACTCTGGTGAATGATCTTGGTAGAGTCAATCGGGCTTCTACAAAAAGTGCTGTCAAGCTTCAGGAGATTGGACCCAGAATGACTTTGCAACTCATGAAGATTGAGGAAGGATTGTGTTCTGGTGGAGTCATCTTTAGTGAATATGGTATATGTCTATCTCATATATACATGTAATTTATGCAACCGTGTGTAAATCCGTATTGTTCGCCATTCTCCCTTGTCCTTGTTCATCCCTGAAAATTGATAAGACTTAATGTAAAATTTCTCAAAAGTTATATCTCTTTTTCCCCCTCTTTTTTCCTCAGGACCCGTTGGTGATAAGAAAAAACAGGACAATAAGAAGGCAGAGGATCAAGAAGATACTGAAGAAAGCGAGGATGAGGACAACGGTGAGGATGAGGTAGAGGAAGAGGAAGAGGAAGATTAGTAACATTCCGAATTGCGAGTACCATACTTTTTTCATTACATGAAAACAGTTTTGACAGCCACTACGGAGTTGGTGCTTCAGAAGATGAAAGGTACCTCTATGAAAGAGAGTTTTTATTTATCAAGGATTTTGGCAGCACTAGCACTAGTGACTTCATAATTTTTGTATTTTTGTTTTAGCGATGTACTTGGGTGCCTATATGAAGAGGAATGATTATTTATCAAGGATTTTGGCTTCACTAGCGTTAGTGATCCCCATACTTTTTTGTTTTTGTTTTATTGTTGTAAAAGATAAGATTTTCCAGGTTCAGAGAATGTAATGTTAGTACTGTGTATAGTTTCTTGATATGACTCGCGAGCAGGTTTGCTGTCTGCTCTTCTGCCCACGTGGTCTCTTTCTACACTGGCGTGTCCTCTGCCAGTGGAGCAACTTCAGTCTCGGAAGTTGCTCCACCAGAACTCTTCTTCTCTAATCTTCAAACAACCGCTAGAGTCTATAATTTAAAGAGGGGTTGGGTTTTTTCAGATTTGTTAATCAACCATTTTTGTTTGTGTAACTAACATGGGAACGAAAATCCAAAGAGCAAAAGATTTGTCGGAAAACGAGAACGAAAATCGCAAGAGAAATGGTTGGGTTCGTCGAGTCGCCTAAACGATTTGAATGGGAGGGTTTTTTTTTTCAAATTTAAATAATTTCACTTATTACCTATTACCCATGTATGTTAAATCTTGCGCCCTAACCCTTTTGAATCTTTAATAATTCTTAAGTGTGCCACGTCACTTTTTCAAACCTAAAAAAAAAAAAAAAATTCAAAACAATTTCAAGGATATTTTTTCAATTGCAAACTTGAGAAGTCATTACAATTAAATTTCCTCAAGTTGAAGGAACATGGTGGGTTCAGTAAATGTATAATAAATGAGATTCATTAAAGAGTATAAAAGAAAGAATGCAAAATTTATACACCTCCCTTATATTTGCGTTTGTATCATTAAAATTATGACTTTCTACTCTTATGTATATTATCTTGAATTTTAATGTTGTATCATACACACCCTTGACGCTAACATTACTCTCTTAACATAGGTTAAAAAACCAAAGTACCCAAAGTTATGTTATTGACAATGTGAAAATTGATGTAATAAATCAAAAGAATCACTTAACTACCATCTTGTCCCTAAGTATTTTGAATTAATACAATTTTGTCCATTCATATTCAAATGTAATCACAAAATGCCTTTAGGTAGGCTTGAGAACTCTTTATTTAATGGATATGCCCGGATGGTGTGTTTGCAAATTCCTAAACAAGAATCATAGAAGAACCTTAGCAATAGATAAGGATATTTTTTTTTTTTTTTTTTTTTTTCCACAAATGTTTTAAAACCCAACCTGGCCCAGACGGTTAGACGCTCAAACCGAGAACCAAGGCCTTGTCCAGGCCAAGTCACTCCTATCCACTATTTTAAAATCCTAACTGATTGCTGACCACTCTGGCCACTTTTTGGCCCCCCTTGCCCCCTCCCACTCACTTGCCACCCTAACTTGATTGTCGCGTACCCCCTGGTGAGTTAGCTTCTCGCTCCAACCACGGCAAGCTCTATTTCCAAGTGGTGCCATGCTTGCCTTTTGCATGAACTCGCGCTTAACGCTTAACGGTGGCTGCTCCCAGTACGGCATCGCACTTCTGAAGACACCAGGGATTACCTTGCTACGCGAGCATTGTCATGCGATGCCAACAGCTGTCTCACGCCCTCCTCGCGCAAGCCCAACTTCCCAACCTCATCCTTTAGTGTGTCACCACTGCCCAACCAGTCAACCACTTATTTGCATTTGACCAGATCATAGGGATGGTTTGCTAGATTTCAAACCTTTAGAAACTTATGATATTTATCACAGGACATGTTTGCTAGATTTCAAACTGCTGGATATAACGGTCAAACTGTCAACCCAACCAATCAAACCGATCAACCCAAGAACCAGTCAAGGGGCGGGTTAAGTTTAAAATCATTTCTTCCACTTCATTGAAAATTTAGATGTGTCAATATGGTGTATTTGCTCACTCATAGCTAGCTACTCAGAATAAACACGACAATCACTACACAGTTCCTAAGATTTATCCCTTAAGTAAAAAAAATTTACAACTGATTGTCACTTGCACAACTCTTACGAGGTGTACATTGTTCATTCAATTTACTTTACGAATCCACTACTTTTAACATAAGATACCACTTTTCAGTTATGTCTATATCTCGTAGAAAAGGGGGGATGAAATTGTGGTGATGAAAAATTTATTTGTTCAAGTAAGAAGGGCTAATAATATGGTGATCTTATTGAAAACATACAAATAAAACCATATCAAAGTGATCAACTCTTTTAAAAATATTATAAGTTACATGTCAAGTAATTACATGCTTGATATTAAAGTTTAATATAATTTAATCAAGTACTATGATCTTTAAGTATTCATATATGTTTCAAAATGCAATATAAAGTTATAGATAAAATGATCTTTAAGTCTTCATAATATTTCCCTGTTTTATTATATTATACTCTTGAACTTTTAATGTTGTACATACACACCTCTTGAAACTAACATTGTTCTCTTAACATAGGTTAAAAGACCAAAGTACCCAAAGTTATGTTATTGAACATGTGAAAATTGATAGAATAAACAAATGAATAATTTAACTCCATCTTGTCCTAAGATTTTGAATTAATACAATTTTGTCCATTCCTTATGCAAATGTAACTACTAAATGCCTTTAGGTAGGCTAGAGAACTCTTTATTTAATGGATATGCCCAAATGGTGTATTTGCAAATTCTTGAACAAGAATCATAGAAAGAACCATTAGCAATAGATAAGGAATTTTTTTTTTTTTTTTAGCTTTCCACAACTATTTTAAAACCCGACACAAACCCAAACGGTTCGACTAGTTGAACCAAGAAGCAAAGCCTTCTCCAGGCCAAGTCACCCCTATCCACTATTTTAAAATCCCTAACCAGACTTCCGACCACTTCTGCCCCTTTTTGGCATCCGCCCCCTCCTACTCACTGCACCCTCACTTGATTGTTGCGTAGCCCTATTGGGCGGGCTCCTCACTCCAGCCATAGCAATCCCTATTTCCAAGCTTTGTCGTGCTAGTCTTTTGAGCGAACGCTTGCTCAACGCACGAAGATGGCTGCTCATAGCACAGCATCGTGCACCTGAAGACACCAAAGTGTACCTTGCTACACGAGCGTTGTGCTCAACGCTAACAACTGTCGACGCCTCCTCCCGCCCAAGCCCACTTCCCAACCTTGCTCTATATAGGTGTCACCACTACCCAACAGTAACCATTGTTGCATTTGAACCGATTATAGGGATGTGTTTTGCTGATCAACCTGTAGGAACTTATAATATTTATTAGGGGCATGTTGCTAGATTTCAAACCTGTTGGATATAACAGTCAAACTGTCAACCCAACCAATCAAACTGATCAACCTAAGAACCGGTCAAGGGCGGGTTGGGTTTAAAAACATTTCTTTCACTTCACTGAAAATTTAGATGTGTCAATATTGGTGTATTTTGCTCACTCATAGCTGCTATCAGAATAAACACGACAATCACTAACAGTTCCTAAGATTATCCCTTTAAGAAAAAAAATATACAACTGACTGTCGCTAGCACAACTCCTGCTATGGTCTATATTGTTCATTCAATTTACTTTAGCAATCCATTACTTTTAACATAACATACCAACTTTCAGTTCTATGTATCTCAGTACAAAAGAGAGGATGAAATTGTGGGCATGAAAATTTTTGTTTCAAGTAAGAAGGGTAACAACAATGGATGACCCTTGTGGTATTGAAAACAAACAAATAAAACCATATCAAAGTGACTAACTCTTTTAAACATATCATAACAAAGTTACATGTCAAGTAATTTCACTACTTGATTTATAGATGTTATAAGATTATATTTACTCGACTTCTATGATCTCCAAATCTTCAGTTATATTTCATAATGCAATAATAATTATAGATAAAATGGTATCTTTTAGTTATTAGGCTCATAGATAACTTTGAAAAAATTAAACAAATTAATCAACTTTTCTAAAGTAACAAGAAAATTATGTGATGTTCTTGCCCTCCTGGAAATATGTTGTTCCCATTGCACACAGAATTGTCATCAACATTCAAAGCCAAAATAAAGCAACACCACCGGAATCAAAACGCTTAAGCTTGTTCATTGAACCAATCATCAGATCAAACCATATAGTTACTTGTTTTTGTTAGACCAAACATCGCGTAAATCATCATCATCTCTATTAAGCAGCTTCCAATTTTCCTCCTCCAATCTTCCATTTGCAAGGTGCTCAGAATCTTTACATTCTTTACATCTTTCAAGTAATGTCGCCAAGGTGCTCAGAATCTTACATTCTTTACATCTTTCAAGTAATGTCGCCAACACTCGATATTATGAGAATTGCAGCAATTTACACATATTCGTCAGTTCTCATACAGCCACTGAGTTCAAGCAAGTCAAATAATTCTGTTAAAACTTAATTATGATTATGAACTTAAAAAATACTATTGCTTTTCCCTCTAATAAGTTCTACAGGGGTGAGCTGTTAATTGTATCCTATGTGCAGTGAAATGAATCATATAGGATAGACATACTAAGAACAATAATTTAAGATTAAATGAAGATACCTGAAGGAATTTGAGCCCATTTTCTCGATTGCGTTCACATACAAAGTCCTTGGACAACAACTCCAAAGAAGGCCATCCAACAAAGCTCTGTAATCTGACAATAGTATGCCTACAGATAGGTTTAGGTCGTACCTTGACAACGGAATGAAGCAAAACTTTCTCTTACTCCGTCCAAATTGAACGAAATCTTGCAAAAATCACAACAAACAATAAGCAATTGAAAAATGACTAGAAAATGTAGCAAAAGTTAAGTAAAACCTTGATATTCAATTCCATAAGATTTATTGAAATACCTTCTCAATGTAGAAGATTTAAGGAGTAGACCTACATTTGATGTGCGTACTCCAAGAAATTCCTTCAGATTCATGAACCAACTAGTGTCAAGATCACCGGTAGGGCAGATGAAAACTTTCCAATATGAACATGGAGCATTAGTTACAGCAATGGGAATCGGATTCAGGTAGTAAAGAATGAAATCAAATTTGGTGTATCTAGATGAATTGCCTTCAAACGCAACAAAAACGGAAATGTAAGCGTTTCAGCCTATCATTTGATATCATAATCCTTTCAAGGAACGGACACCATACATATATAAATCCTCAAGGAAGGGAAATTTTGATATAAGGTGATGAAAATCTTGGTCTGTAAAGAGACGCATTTCATATGTAACTTTTCAAATGTGTACCCCGCCATGTCAATACACAGCCTGCTCCGCAATTTTACAGCCAACAAACTTGAAGACTGGAGCAATAATTTCAACACTAACAAGTTCTCGAGGGTGATGAATCTTAATGAACTTGAGTTTGAGCTTTAGAGACGCAAATGCTTAAGACCCCAAAAGCAGAAATCGACAAGTCTTCAAGTAAAGGGCATTCACTAGTATTTGGACCATCTGCTCATTATACAGACCTTTTCTAAAGTAAGACTTTTGTGGAGAACATAAAACTAGAGTATCAGAGGGCTGCTCTATCTTACAACTACACAGCCTTAAAGTAGTAAGCAATTTTGAAAGAAGATGTTTGAGGCAAAGTGTACGTTGCGTCCTTTCGTATCGTACCTGATAAATAATCTGCTTCAAGATCAATATCAAATTCTTTACCTCTTTCTGTACTGCCAACCGTATCCATTCATCAATAAGAGAGGATCTTAAGATTAAAAGCACATATGTATAGCCTAAATTCTCATAGAATACTCAAGTCTGCAGAGCCGACGCAGGGAAGCATCAACAAATTTCATAATTTTCTTTAGAAAAGATGCTTGAACTGGGCATACACTTTGATTTTGTCTACGTTTTCGTGTGGAGTAAGTTTGATCAAATTCCAGAATAGGGAATGATACCGTAAATAATTCCATCTCTTTGACAAAATACTAGTTTGAGCTACCTCGGCGAGAGGTGGATCAGACATGATCTTATGAATAATAAAATCAGGCAATTTTGAGATTCTATCCATGGCATCAAATCTGTAACATGAAATACAGTATAATTTATACTGTTCATACATTAAGAACAAAAACTTTCAAGGAATGCATATAAAAGAGAGACTTGCCAGTTGTAACGCCTTGAAATTTTTGTAATGTCCTTTGTTCCTTTGTATGGTCTATGCTTTTATTTGATTGAGCATTTGAGTTTTAAAGTTTGAATGAATGATAGATACTGATTTTATATGATTTTGTTCCTTTTTTTAAAATAAAGATATTATAATGTTATCAAAATTCTATGGGATAAAGGTTATATTATTCTTATATTAGGGTTTCCTATTATAATAGTCCTAGTTAAATAGATCTTTAGTTTTAGATGTTTATGGAGCTGGGTTTAAGTTGTATATCTTTCTTAAACAACTCAAGTTCGTTCACATTGATGGTTAAAAATACACCTAATTTTACAGGACTTTCCTAGTTTGAAACAATAAGACCTAGGAGTGGGCAGGTCCGAGTACTCGGCCAAATTCAAAGGAACCTGAACTAGAACCAGCCAGTTCCTTGGATTTGGAATCGCGACCAAATTGACTGGTTCCAGGTCCTATAAGCCAAGAATCGGAACCTGAATCATAAGTTTCGGTTCTGTTTCTGTTTCCGAGGGACCAGGTTAATTTCAATTACCCCCTTTAAAAAAAAATAAACCTTCTAAAATTAAATACACCCCATAGTTTACAAAAATTACAATTCAGTCTCAATTCCTAACTGGATACTCAGATCTCGGTTTCGGTTTCGGTTTTGATTCATAATTTTAAAATCGGAACCTACCATGTGAGAGTGCTTCCAAATAGGAACTGGAACCCAAGGACCCACTAGTTCCACTTCCAACCAATTCTTTTGCACACCCCTAGCAAGATCCAAGGAGGAGAAAACACAATTATATCACGTGGTGGGTACACTAAATATATTTTTTTTTTAATTTATAAATATAATAAACGACACCAGTTAAGATTATGAAAAATCTTAATAAAATAATATTTTAGTCTATTATGATGATTCATTAGAGTGTTGACATTTATATTGTACTAACATAACATCTTTCAACTCCTCGGACATTAGTATGAAATTGTATACAAAGGGTATATATGACTTTTAGTACAAATATCCAACATTTTGTTTTGTGAAAAAGAAAAGAAAAAGAAAAAGAAGAAATGGAGGCTGGCTACATATAGTAAACCAGATGAGGTTTAGCGAAATACCAAGTTGATACCCTTACTTATTTATTCTAGATTCTCTTCAAGTGAACACCGTTTCCTTTATTTTAGAGTTAAAGGCTAAAACGGTCATTTCTTTCTCTTCCCTTCCCATTTCTTTTCATCTCCACCTCCTCCTCCCAACCCTCCCATCACCACCATTTTTCTCCCCTATTCCCTACCAAAACCCCTTCATTCCACGCACATTTACCTTGTCGTGTTGTCGATCATCGCATTAGCTCGAGTTGGTGCGCCACAGCTTTTCTAGCCGATCTGGTCACTAGAAACCTCCCTTGCCTCACCAATTGATTCACCGTGTGTCCCCTCTCTAAAACTTTCATACTTCCTATCAACGTTCGGTCACCATTGTTGTCATTCATTATCCTCAATCTCTAGGATTTTCGGTTTGAATGAATTGGGATTTCTTAATTGATGAAATTAGGCTTAATTGGAGCTTGATGTTTCGATTTAATTGCGGTGTGTGTTTTAGCCGTGATTTGGTTAATTTTGTTTTGCCATGATTTGGTGTTATTGCATGTGTTGGTGATTTGGATTTGGATTTGGGTTAGGTTTATTTTCTTTTTTTTTTCCCTAAATGGTGCGATTTTAGGTGGTGGTTGGGTGGCTATAATGGCAAATCGGAGGTGGTGGTGGTTGTGGGATTTAGATGGTGTGGTTTGGCAGTTGTGGTGATAGTTTGGATGGTTTGGTGGTGGTGGTTTGAGATGGGGTGATTAGAATCGGTTGTAGTGATGGTTTGGTCAACTATAACGGTGGTTTAGAATGGTGTGAAAGGCAATTGGTAATAACATCCCTACATCGATTAAGTCATTACGTGGTACTTCAAAGATAAAATCTAGAATAAATAAAACCAAAAATATCGATTTCACATTTCGCTGAACCTGGGTGGAAACATGTCCTTTGTATATATATATATATTATATATATATTATATACACACACACACACACTTAGGCTTAAGTCTAACACATGGCAGAATTCTAGTGCTTCTCCACGGTAAAACTATACTTCTGTCTACACTCAATCAGATCCCTTAAACCCTAATTCTTTCTTTGTCTTCTGCACACACAAGTAATTCACACTATCGCTTGTTTCCTTCAGTTCCGCTAGCACCAATAAACTCCATCGTCGTCGTCGTCGTCGTCGCCACCTCCGCCGCCGCAAACCATTACCTGTAAGTATATCCTTTTAATTCATTTCAAATAGCTCTTTCAAAACCCCGAATTTTGTTATTACACGATCAATACTAGATATTATCTTCGTGTTCTGATTCTGGTTTTTTATTTTTTTCTTAATACTTTATTTGTAGCATTCAAAGAAGTAATTAATCGGGAAAGTTTAAAGCTTGATTGAGTAAGACTCGATATTCGTTTCCTACGAAGCCATGCTCGTTTTCGGAATGTAAGTGAATATCTCCTCTTTGGTTAGTTTGAAGTAAATTGCTGAATATTATGTTATTTAGTGGTATTACATTGAAGAAAATCAGCATATGAAAAGATCATTTTGTAAAAGCACTTTGAAAATAGTTTTGCTAATGTATGTCAGTGTGCATAGTTTCTGATTATTATTTTATTATTTTCATTAAAACAGAAAAATAAAAAGGCATTTGTGAAGCGGTTGGGAAGAAGAAGCAGCCTACTGTAGATCACATCACAGGGGATAAGATCCCAAAGAGTTTTGTGTTTTCCCGAGGGAATTGCCTGGTCCTCTCAAGCAGCTTGAATTGGACATAAGAAAGTTGATGCTTCCGAGTACTGCTCTCAAGCTTAGGTAAAGCTTTATCTGTTTCTGATTTTGACTTTCCTCTTTGTGTCTTTCGTTTGTTACTTGAGCTCGTTCTTGTAAACTGATGATGAATTCGAGGAATATACATTAATAAGGATTATTGGTTTTGTTGGGGAAACCTTGTTTTCATGAGAGTATTATGCTCAATGAGACTAAAGATTATAATGTAAAATCAAATCATTAGTGATTTTCATAAAGGTGTTTAAAATTTTGAACAATGAATTTAGTTTGAGCCTTCTGGACATGATTTAATTCTAGAGGACCCTAATAGTTTGTTTTGATTGATCATTGAAAGATAGGAATAGACCTTCAATTTGATTGGCTACTCCAAGAAATTTCGTCAGATTCATGAACCAACTAGTGTCAAGATCACTGTAAGGGCGGATGGAAACTTTCCAATATGAATATGGAGCATTAGTTACAGCAATGGGAATCCAATTCAAGTAGTAAGAGATTGAAATCAAATTTGGTGTATCAAGATGAATTGCCTTCAAACCAGGACAAGAACGGATTTTTAATCTTTTCAGCCTATCACTTGATATTATAATCCTTTCAAGCAACATACTCCTATACACATATAAATGCTCAAGGAAGGGAAATTTTAATATAAGCTGATGAAAATCTTGGTCTGTAAAAGAGCCACCATTCACATGTAACTCTTTCAAATGTGTACACCCAGCCATGTCAATACACAGCCGGCTCGAATAATTTACAACAAGCCAACAAACTTGAAGACTTGGAGCAATAATTTCAACACTAACAAGTTTATCTGACGGATTATGAAACTGAATGAACTTGAGTTTGAGAGCTTTAGAGACACGCAAATGCTTAAGACCCCAACAGCTGCAAATCAACAAGTCTTCAAGTAAAGGGCATTCACTAGTAAACTTTTGGACCATCTGCTCATTTATACAGACTCCTTTTAAAGTAAGACTTTTGAGAGAACATAACATTAGAGTATCAGAGGGCTGCTCTATCTTACAACTAGACAGCCTTAAAGTAGTAAGCAATTTTGCAGAAAAGATCGTTTGAGGCAAAGTGTACACTGCATCCCTATATGCATTGTAAATTCTACATGGTGAAATATCAAACTCTTTTACCTCTTTCTCTACTGCCAACCGTATCCATTCATCAATACGAGAGGATATCTTAAGATTAAAAAGACATACTTTCAGCCTAAATTTCTCCATACAATACTCAAGTCTGCAGAACCGACCCAGGGTTACATCAACAAATTTCACAAATCTTTTTTCATGTAACACGCCTCCGGTTCCGGTAAGCCTACCTTTTCGCATGAAGTGATTTTGATTAAATTCCAGAATAGGGAATGATGTCCGTAAATAATTCCATCTCTTTGACAAAATACTAGTTTGAGCTACCTTTTTTGGCGAGAGGTGAGACATGATCGTATGAATAATAAAATCAGGCAACTCTGAGATTCTATCCATGGCATCAAATCTGTAACATGAAATACAGTATATAATTGTTCGTACATTAAGAACAAATACTTTCAAGGAATGCATATAAAAGAGAGACTTACCAGTTGTAACGCCTTGAATTTTTTGTAATGTCCTTCGTTCCGTTTGTATGGTCTATGCGATTGATTTGATTAAGCATTTGAGTTTTAAAGTTTGAATGAATGATAGATACTGATTTTATATGATTTTTTTTCTTTTTTCCAAATAAAGATATTATAATATTATCAAAATTCTATGGGAAAAAGATTATATTATCTCCTTATATTTAGGCCTTCCTATTATAATAGTCCTAGTTAAATTAGATTTCTTGTTTTAGATGTTGATTGAGATGCGTTTAAGTTGTATATCTTTCTTAAACAACTCAAGTTCGTTCCAATTGATGGTAAAAATACAGCTTATTTTTTAGAGACACTTTCCCGGTTTGAAACGGCAAGACCTAGGGGTGGGCGAGTCCCCATACCCACCCAAATTCAAAGAGACCAGATTCGGAACAAGATTTGGTTGGTTCCTTAGATTTGGAACCAGAACCTGAAACATAGGTTTTGGTTTTGGTTTCGGTCACCTGGGTTAATTTCAATTAACTCCTATTTTTTATAATGGTAAATAAACCCTCTAAATATTACAATACAACCCCAATAATTTATAGGAATTACAATTCAGTCTCGGTTGCAAGTTCCTACCCGGGTACCTGGATCTCAGTTTCGGTTCCAATTCCTGATTTCCAAAACCAGGGTTACATCAACAAATTTCATAAATCTGCTTACATGAAACACGTCTCCGGTTCCGGTAAAATGTTTATTTTGTTGTCTAAGCTAGCCTACGTTTTCATATGAAGGTTGTTGTGTAGGTTCGATGGCTAGAGATGGTTGGGGATGGTAGAAGAGTGCAGAATAAGGGGGTTGGGAGCTACCCTGTATATTGCAAGGCTGGCCATAGGCAGCTGTGCGTGGCCAGCCCTACAATATGCAAGGCAACCCCCTAGCCCCCCTATTCTACACCCTCCTACCAAATCCAGCCCTCCAACCTCCCACAAACAACCTCCTTACAGCCTCCCTTGGCTTCCCCGGTCCTTTGAAAGCCAAAAACAACCGCTCCCCCAATGCCCTCCAACTGCTTGACAAAATGCCATAATCACCCTAGCAACCAACACCAACCAAATATCCCCAAATTGGGACCAACAACCAATTATTTCATAAAATAGTAAGGAATGTACCAGTTCTTCCTCCTCCTCGCTGGAATTCGCGCTGGCATCCTCGTCTTCAAACCCATTTTCGGAGTTTGCTGTCTGCTCTTCTGCCCACGTGGTCTCTTCTACCACTGGCGTGTCCTCTGCCAGTGGAGCAACTTCAGTCATCGGAAGTTGCTCCACCAGAACCTCTTCTTCTCTAATCTTCAAACAACCGCTAGAGTCTATAATTTAAAGAGGGGTTGGGTTTTTCTCAGATTTGTTAATCTCAACCATTTTTGTTTGTGTAACTAACATGGGAACGAAAATCCAAAGAGCAAAAGATTTGTCGGAAAACGAGAACGAAAATCGCAAGAGAAATGGTTGGGTTCGTCGAGTCGCCTAAACGATTTGAATGGGAGGGTTTGTTTTAATTTTCAAAATTTAAATTAATTTCACTTTATTACCTATTACCCATGTATGTTTAAATCCTTGCGCCCTAACCCTTTTTGAATCTTTAATAATTCTTAAGTGTGCCACGTCACTTTTTCAAACCTAAAAAAAAAAAAAAAAATTCAAAACAATTTCAAGGATATTTTTTCAATTGCAAACTTGAGAAGTCATTACAATTAAATTTCCTCAAGTTGAAGGAACATGGTGGGTTCAGTAAATGTATAATAAATGAGATTCATTAAAGAGTATAAAAGAAAGAATGCAAAATTTTATACACCTCCCTTATATTTGCGTTTGTATCATTAAAATTATGACTTTCCCTACTCTTATTGTATTATACTCTTGAACTTTTAATGTTGTATCATACACACCCCTTGACGCTAACATTACTCTCTTAACATAGGTTAAAAAACCAAAGTACCCAAAGTTATGTTATTGACAATGTGAAAATTGATGTAATAAATCAAAAGAATAATTTAACTACCATCTTGTCCCTAAGTATTTTGAATTAATACAATTTTGTCCATTCATTATTCAAATGTAATCACTAAAATGCCTTTAGGTAGGCTTGAGAACTCTTTATTTAATGGATATGCCCGGATGGTGTGTTTGCAAATTCCTAAACAAGAATCATAGAAGAACCATTAGCAATAGATAAGGATATTTTTTTTTTTTTTTTTTTTAGCTTTCCACAAATGTTTTAAAACCCAACCTGGCCCAGACGGTTAGACCGCTCAAACCGAGAACCAAGGCCTTGTCCAGGCCAAGTCACTCCTATCCACTATTTTAAAATCCCTAACCTGATTGCTGACCACTTCTGGCCACTTTTTGGCCCCCCTTGCCCCCTCCCACTCACTTGCCACCCTAACTTGATTGTCGCGTACCCCCTGGTGAGTTATGCTTCTCGCTCCAACCACGGCAAGCTCTATTTCCAAGTGGTGCCATGCTTGCCTTTTGCATGAACTCGCGCTTAACGCTTAACGGTGGCTGCTCCCAGTACGGCATCGCACTTCTGAAGACACCAGGGATTACCTTGCTACGCGAGCATTGTCATGCGATGCCAACAGCTGTCTCACGCCCTCCTCGCGCAAGCCCAACTTCCCAACCTCACTCTCTTTAGTGTGTCACCACTGCCCAACCAGTCAACCACTTATTTGCATTTGACCAGATCATAGGGATGTGTTTGCTAGATTTCAAACCTTTAGAAACTTATGATATTTATCACAGGACATGTTTGCTAGATTTCAAACCTGCTGGATATAACGGTCAAACTGTCAACCCAACCAATCAAACCGATCAACCCAAGAACCAGTCAAGGGGCGGGTTAAGTTTAAAATCATTTCTTTCCACTTCATTGAAAATTTAGATGTGTCAATATTGGTGTATTTTGCTCACTCATAGCTAGCTACTCAGAATAAACACGACAATCACTACACAGTTCCTAAGATTTATCCCTTTAAGTAAAAAAATTTACAACTGATTGTCACTTGCACAACTCTTACGATGGTCTACATTGTTCATTCAATTTACTTTATCGAATCCACTACTTTTAACATAAGATACCACTTTTCAGTTATGCTATATCTCAGTAGAAAAGGGGGATGAAATTGTGGTGATGAAAAATTTATTTGTTCAAGTAAGAAGGGCTAATAATATGGATGATCCTTATTGAAAACATACAAATAAAACCATATCAAAGTGATCAACTCTTTTAAAAATATTATAAGTTACATGTCAAGTAATTACACTGCTTGATATTATAAAGTTATAATATAATATTTAATCAAGTACTATGATCTTTAAGTATTCATATATGTTTCAAAATGCAATATAAAGTTATAGATAAAATGATCTTTAAGTCTTCATATATATTTCCCTGTTTTTATTATATTATACTCTTGAACTTTTAATGTTGTATCATACACACCTCTTGAAACTAACATTGTTCTCTTAACATAGGTTAAAAGACCAAAGTACCCAAAGTTATGTTATTGAACATGTGAAAATTGATAGAATAAATCAAATGAATAATTTAACTACCATCTTGTCCCTAAGTATTTTGAATTAATACAATTTTGTCCATTCCTTATGCAAATGTAACTACTAAAATGCCTTTAGGTAGGCTTGAGAACTCTTTATTTAATGGATATGCCCAAATGGTGTATTTGCAAATTCTTGAACAAGAATCATAGAAGAACCATTAGCAATAGATAAGGAGATTTTTTTTTTTTTTTTTTTAAGCTTTCCACAACTGTTTTAAAACCCAACACAACCCAAATGGTTCGACCGGTCGAACCAAGAACCAAGGCCTTCTCTGGGCCAAGTCACCCCTATCCACTGTTTTAAAATCCCTAACCAGACTTCCGACCACTTCTGGCCACTTTTTGGTATCCCCTGCCCCCTCCCACTCACCTGCCACCCTCACTTGATTGTTGCGTACGCCCTATTGGGCGGGCTCCTCACTCCAGCCATAGCAATCCCTATTTCCAAGCTTTGTCGTGCTAGTCTTTTGAGCGAACGCTTGCTCAACGCACGAAGATGGCTGCTCATAGCACAGCATCGTGCACCTGAAGACACCAAAGTGTACCTTGCTACACGAGCGTTGTCGCTCAACGCTAACAACTGTCGCACGCCCTCCTCGCCCAAGCCCAACTTCCCAACCTTGCTCTATATAGTGTGTCACCACTACCCAACCAGTCAACCATTGATTTGCATTTGACCAGATTATAGGGATGTGTTTGCTAGATTTCAAACCTGTAGGAACTTATAATATTTATTAGGGGCATGTTTGCTAGATTTCAAACCTGTTGGATATAACAGTCAAACTGTCAACCCAACCAATCAAACTGATCAACCTAAGAACCGGTCAAGGGGCGGGTTGGGTTTAAAAACATTTCTTTCCACTTCACTGAAAATTTAGATGTGTCAATATTGGTGTATTTTGCTCACTCATAGCTAGCTATCAGAATAAACACGACAATCACTACACAGTTCCTAAGATTTATCCCTTTAAGAAAAAAAATTATACAACTGACTGTCGCTAGCACAACTCCTGCTATGGTCTATATTGTTCATTCAATTTACTTTATCGAATCCATTACTTTTAACATAACATACCAACTTTCAGTTCTATTGTATCTCAGTACAAAAGGAGGATGAAATTGTGGGCATGAAAATTTTATTTGTTCAAGTAAGAAGGGTAACAACAATGGATGACCCTTGTGTATTGAAAACAAACAAATAAAACCATATCAAAGTGACTAACTCTTTTAAACATATCATAACAAAGTTACATGTCAAGTAATTACACTACTTGATATTATAGATGTTATAAGATTATATTTACTCGACT